CTTAAATATGATATGTTCGGTCATGGGGAAAAAAGAGAAGACTTTGTGGTTTCTTCAATGAAAGATGATGATTTTAAATCTAATATGGATTTAAATAAAATTGATGCAAAGAAATAGAATTTAAGATACGAATTTGTGTCAAAATTGGTGTAAACTGAGCTGTTTTAACATCCCAAATTAGCACAGATGGTTGTAAAGTGGTAATGCAGAAGCTCAATCGAACAATGACTGATAATCCATAAAAATTGCAGGGGTGAAAGTATAAAACTAAAATAACAAGACCAGCACTTGGCTAAACTTATTTAAAATGGTTTCTCTGGTGCTCATGTGGAACTTATAAAATATTAGCAAAGCTCTTGTAAGTACAACAGACTAAAGGCCAATTTATGCTTCTGACGCATAGCCTCTGCAACCATCAAATCTGTCTCAAAAAAATGTAGACTACACGTCGGATGGTCGCAAACCCGGACAGACCTAATGCAGAGGTACGCAGACAAAAAGCAGCTGTGATTGGTCCTTGCTATGCCTTTCCGGCTGTCTGTGTGGTCGTCCTTCTCTATTCGATGCCGGGGCGCGCCATTTTTAAAAGCCGAGGAACAACTACAATGGACAACCTACGCATCCTCCTTTGTCTTTTTGCCAACTCCTTTAACAGGACCTGTTCATCTTCGATGTCTAGCAACTCTAGAGTCATCTCCATGAGCTTGACACCTTGCAGACGTGCCATTGTTGTTTTGGAAGATAAACACCCCGCCGGTGCCGCCGAAGTTCTCGTTACCATCTGCCGAAGTTCTTGCAAATTCTCAAATTGGCTCCCACCTGCGCTTTGGCGGGAAACTGCTGTGCATCCCTAAAAATTCCAGAGCGACGGTGCAGAAGCATACCAGCAAAACTGGTTCGCGACCAGACCCAAGCGACATTTGATGTGTGCGGTTGCAGAAGTCTAATCTGCCCTTAAGAATTGCCCTGCATTAGCGGTCAGTCAGAAACCATAGCAACCTTTTTGTCTAACTCTAGTTGATTACCCAAAGAAAATATAATGCACTCTCACCAATAACACTGAAACTGACTGCAGCCGAGTCCATTTGCATGGACTAGATATGTGTTTACTTTGTTAGGAAACCTGTTTGACCATGTATTTGTTCAGCTGAATCCAATATACATATTTTCAACTCTCGAAGTCCCAGAGATTTTCAGTTTTCCTGCAAGCCCCCCTCCCCTCTTCACTAGACCTTGCTAACTGACCTTGTTGCAATGCAAATAACCTGTGATATGACCAGTCCTTCTACATGAGACTGGATAAGGCTGAAACAAACTGGCATCAGAACAAGAGCATGCTCCAAACACGGTACCTGCTCCTGCAACATCAGACCTTTTCGCAGGAATATATTAATAAGTCATGTCTAAATCTTTTATTTACGTAAACCTATTGAACAACCAGATATCACAAGGGTCCTAGTTCCTGAGCTGAGAAAAGGTAATGACATTTATGTTAAAAAACAGATTTCCTGATGGTGAGAACTGACAAGGACACCAAAAGGAATATATTATGCCGAAGCTTCTGGGAGGAACTGTCAATAAAATTAAAGATCAGCACATTAGGAGGAAAATATGAAACATTTCCCTGATTGCATAAAGATATTACAATGATTCAACAAAAAGCAGAACAATGTTTTACTGGTTTCAAAATGCTCGGATGTAAATGTGGTGAAGAAATACCAATAATATCCAACTCAGCATTACAAATACTACACACCAAGCACATTTATTTCAGTAAAAATTGCAACAAGGTAAAAGGGAAATATAGATACATAAGTCATAGACTATACAAACTTTTTTTTGTCAATGTCTCTTTACCAGGAAACCTAAATCCACTGAGTGCAAAGAACTGAGAGGATTAAACAATGCAACATTTTAGTAGAAAATTCTAAGATATGTTCTGAGTCTTGCCAAAAACAAAATGTGAAACATTTATAACGTATCGGTCTCAAAAATTACAAAAATAAACTATTAAGTAAGGGAAAAAAAGATAAAAATGATTGTTAGCTTGTTTATTTCTTAATAAGGAGCAACAGAGAGCTTATCTGAGAAATCTTTTTGTAATTTCATTTCTGCATTTAATACAATTTTCCAAACATAAGCTATATATACTCTGCTCTCCCTTTCCTCTCAGTATATTTCATCCCATTACTGCCCTTCCTTTTCCCTACATCCCATCATCATCCTTTAATCTCAATCTACCTCATAAACACAATTTGCTCTTCTTTGTTGCAAGTTCATCTGGGGAGTTCTACCTGGGCTCGGAAAAATGAGCCATCCTTCGTTATCCCTTTACCCCTTCTTCCCTTGATCCCTCCATCCCTTCCTGACAACAAACCTTCAAACTCTAAATTGTTTTGTTCATGTCCCTGCTAGTGAATTGACACGTTGCTATATACTTAGCACTGGGTGTCCAGGACTGTGTGCTGGGCAACCTTCTTAATTCAGTCTATATATACGACTTTGCCCATCAAGTAAACCTCATTAAATTAGCTGATGACACTACTGTGTTGGGGTTGATTTCTGGAGGTGACAAAACACACACAGGAAGAAGCTCCTGAATCTGAAAGCTTGGTGCTAATCATACAAACTTGAACTAGAACAGAATAGAATGCACCTTTATTGTCATTATACAGTCACAAGTACAAAGCAACGAAACAAACTATCTGCATTTAACCCATTTCCTTGGGGAGCATTGGGCTGCCATTGTGTGGCGCTTAGGAAGCAGTGTTGGGTTAAGGGTCTTGCTCGGGGAGCCAGAGTGGCAGTCTTTGGAGTCAGGGTTTGAACTCCGAACCTTCTGGGATCCAAGCACAATGTCCTAACCACTATGCTACACTCCCTTAACTAAACATGCAAAAGAAGTAATTATCGACTTTCAGAAGAAGACAACTGACCTCCCCCCCTTGAGCATTAAAGGCGTCTGTATGGAGAAAGTCTGTACCTTTAAAGACCTGGGCATTGTGATCTCTGAAGACCCCTTCTGGCACTCTAACACCACAGGGATCTCAGGTGAAACAAGCTGAAGAGCAAGCTACTGGAGTCCTTCTACCGATCCTGAATTGAGAGCATTCTAACTAATCTATCTCAGTGTGGTAAGTTAGTTGCAGCTGGTGGTCAAAACTGCCCAGAGAATCAATGGCCACTCTAATTCCGGGTCAGTTGTCACCTGATTAAAATCTGCTTCACCACAGCCAGTGCTACAGGTGCATCAGGTCAAGAACTAACAGACTGAAAACCATTATTTTCCCTCGAAGACATAATGTTACTAAACCAAAACTCAGAAACTATTTTTTGTTTTACATATATTTTCTTTCTTAACATCTATAAGAAATGTTCACACTGGTTGTTATACTGCATTTTATTTGTCTGTCTTTTATGTGATGGCACTTAAAGAATGTTGGCACTTATAGCGAAGGTTATGATGTTTAATGTTTGAAAAGTATGCAAAGCACACTTTTGGTGCTTACTAAGAAAATGTCATAATGAAGCAGTTTCTATTACTCAGAAACTAATTGAGTGAGAGTATTTCTTCGAGGTATTGAGTTGGATATTTTATAATCATGTCATACACTGTCAGACCTCTTTACGCTTATATTGGTCAACAGATGACATGGTGAAAATACTTTTATTTCTAAGTCAAAAGCATTTTCTAATATATTCTATAACTGTAATAAATAAATTAAAACAATGGAAATTACAGACACAAGGGGATTAGGGCCACTGAAAAAATAAAAAAAAGTTAGCTGATTTTTAAATATTTCAGTTTAATATGGGAAAAAAGTCAGAATTCTGACTATTTTTCTCAGGATTCTGACTTTAATCTCAGAATTCTGACTTTAATCTCAGAATTCTGACTTTTTTTTCCTCCGAATTCTGAGAAATGAAATGAAACAGCATCACCGGGGACCTCTCAGGCATATAAAAACGTCACCCAATTCCATCATTTTTGGATCTTAAGTTGTGTGAGAGGCCCAGGGACACATTGCTGAAAAATTACGAAATTAGGCGACTTTTTACGTCCCTAAGGGGTCCCCGGTGACGCCATTTCATTAATGGAAGAGCAGAAGGTGATTAAAACAAGAGTGCTAGTTTAGTTTCTAAAACAAACATGGCTACAGCTTGGTGCTAACATGTTTGTTAGCTGTCACAATTCAGTCAGAATTCTGACATTAAATTCAGAATTCTGAGATTAAAGTTAGAATTCTGAATTCTGAGATTAAATTGAGAATTACGATATTAAAGTCTGAATTTAATCTCAGTATTCTGATTAATTCTGACTTTAATCTCAGAATTCTGATTTTTTTTTTCTCAGAATTTTGATTTTTTTTTCAGAATTCTGATTTTTTTCTCAGAATTCTGACTTTAATTTAAGAATTCTGAGATTAAAGTTAGAATTCTGAATTCTGAGATTAAAGTTAGAATTACGATATTAAAGTCTGAATTTAATCTCAGTATTCTGATTAATTCTGACTTTAATCTCAGAATTCTTAAATTAAAGTCAGAATTCTGAGAAAAAAATCAGAATTCTGAAAAAAAAAAATCAAAATTCTGAGAAAAAAAAATCAGAATTCTGAGATTAAAGTCAGAATTAATCAGAATACTGAGATTAAATTCAGACTTCTGAGATTAAAGTCAGAATTCTGAATTTTTTTCTCATGTTATGATGAGATAAAATCAAAAAATCAGATTTTTTTTCCAGTAGCCCTAATCCTCTTCTGCACACACCCTCCCTAAATTGATTATGCATTCAAAACAAATAGTGGCAGTAATTAAAGTCTTTGCTCTAGGAAATTATGAGGGATGATCTGTCCAATAAAAAAAAAAATAATAATAGATTTCAGTAATTTACAGATATCATTTACAATCAGCCAAACCAAGACTGTGGGAAATCATCTAGCAAAGGAAAGTCATCAAATATTGATCAGAAGGACATTACAGAATCAATCAAAGCCACTCACCAGCTACAGAAGTCAGCAGGACAGCAAAGCAAAACCCAAATCTTGCCAGAGATTTCATCGCAGCTCGGCTCACAGCCATAACGGCGAACTTTGTCACTGGATCTTCCTCCGAACTTGTTTTTGGTCCTCTTCTACTGCAGATTATCCTCCTTTTCTACACGTATCTCCTCCAAAGTCAGCCCATAAACTTGAACTGAACTCCCAGCCAGTGCGGCACAACACACTGAGAAAAAAATGTAAAAACAAAAATAAAAAAGCAGGGATTTGCTGCTGTTTTTTTGGCTTATCGCTGATGTCGTTTGGCTAATACGAATAACAGAAATGAAGTGAATTAGTCCAGCTTTGCAGCCCGATGAGGAGCGGACAGATTCGCCGACTATCTATCGGATCTTCCATCTGTGCGCGTCCGAAAAACAGCGTCTGTGTCCTGCGGCTAACATGCTAGCAGCCCGAGGCGACAGTCTGGCTGGGGCTGCAAAACTTAGGTAAAACTGCTAAATACCGCTTAAATGACCAATCCTTTCAGCTGCAGTTTATCATCAAACGTATATGTTTTTAAAAAAACAAACCAGTTTCCTCAAAAAGCGGAAAAAAAGCAGAGACACCTTTAATAAAATCCGAGTGTGTCAAAAGCTGGTCGCTATCCAAGCTAACGGATGCTAGCCACATAGCTAGCCGGTTAGTTCAGTGCGTCCCGTGTCGTTTTCCCGTTGGGAAAACATAAAAACAACACAACGGCTCATGGGCGCCTGTGCTTTAGCTGTTCCGGTGAGCAGTGGACGGAGATCGCCTCCCACCCCCCCGCCCCGGTGCTGAGAGATGGCGGACGGAGGAGATGGTTATCTGGAGATCGGATCAGGGCGGCTGGGAACGCCTCGTTTGCGGACTCGTCTGGACCGCTGGTCTCCGGGTATCAAGTTACCGCCGCGGACGGTCCCACTGAGCCGGGAGGGAGCAGGAGGGAGGAGCAGCGCCGCTCTGCCGCAGACAGTGGAAACAACACCCGGGGACGGACGTGCTGCATTCAGGCTCTTTGTGTCATTCCTTGGGCGGTGCGATTTACAGCATAAAACGTTGACATCTAAAAGTAAACATACCTGATAAAATTAGGAATACTTTTGTCCTTTAAACTTGTGCGCAATTTGAGGCGCTGTAATGACAAAATTTAGTGGAAATGATCATGATTAGATCTGATAGATCCGCACAAAGTGGTGCATAAATATGGGGTTGAATGTACCTGTAACAGGGGTTTGCAAGTAGATAACCAACTAATTGGAAATCAATTAATAAATAAATTGGGGGAGAGGCGGCCTAGTGGTAGTGGCATAGGGCAGGAATTTGGTATCCGGAGGTTGTTAGTTCGAAACCCACTCCCACTGCCTCCACTCTGGGGGCAACCCTATATAGGGCACTCAGTCAAATACTTTGAAATAAGTAGAAATTTCTTTGTGTATTTACCCTTAATTAAGTGTATTTACCCTTAATTTAAGCAGGTAAATACAGAAGAGGATTAGGGGCCACTGAAAAACTTAAAAAAGTGAAATGATTTTTAAGTTTTATTTCTGTATAATATAAGAGAAAAGTCAGAATTCTGACTTTGTTCTAAGAATTCTGACTTTTTATTTTAGACTTCTGACTTTAATCTAAGAATTCAGACTTTTTATATTAGACTTCTGACTTTAATCTAAGAATTCAGACTTTTTATATT